CATAACATTTGGTCCATCAAACCTGGATACGATCCAAGAAGCATTCAAGACTGCCAAGTTCTCCAAATTAAGAAGAATACGGAGCAGCACTCAAGAGAGTCTGGCTTTTGAGACATTTTTGATCACCAATGCTGGAAAATGTCTTATGGAAGCAGGTAAAAATGTAAAATTGAACTATTTCTTTCAAAAAGTTAACATCTACAAACAAAAAAGTATGGAAAAAATGGAAAATTATTAGAAGGGTATGTCTACTAAAACAGCTACTCCTAATCATAAAGCTGAATTTATTCAAATTCAACAAGATACAATGTGTTATAACTTTGGATAAATAAAATAACGATGACTGGATAATTGAAACAATTAGTTTTATTCAATGCTTCAACTGATTTGCATTACGTCTACAAGACATATTCAAATTACAGATGACCAGAGGTTTTCATTGACACTTGACAAAATACATGGAAATATAGAAAAATAGAACAATACTTTTGCCATAGCATTTGAAGGTATGTTCACATGATATATCACAATACCCTCCCTCATAAATTGAGGCGTGTGGGCGGTTTTATTGCTCTCCTCGGTCTCTCTTTCACATTTGACGGATTCTCCACCACCGGAGTTCTAACAACTAATGGAGTCGTAATTTCCGTATTCCGCTCAGAACATTCATCTACTATTTCACTACTTACAGTACTAGGTAGTCTAATTATGCTATCTGAACTATGAACTGGCTCATTTGTTTCCTTTACTTCATTCCTAACCAGTGAAACAGGTAAGTTTTGTTGAACAATAGGTACATTCTGTTGAACTGGACAATTATTCTGAACAGCATTAGGACTAATATTCACATTCTCCGCTTCACCTTGCTCCTCAAATCTCAAAATTTGGTTCATATGTCTTTTCCATATCGATTCTTCATTTTTAATACTACACAAATAAATTCTATCACCTAACACTTCATCTATCTTTCCTTCTACCCAACATTTCCTATTAGGATTTCTGTAATCCCTAACCCACACTTTCTCTCCTTCTAAAAATTTTTCAGTTCTATTTCCTCTATAATTTTTTTACAGCATTATCTACTTTAATATCTTTTTCCACTAGAAAATCTAATCTATTTCTAAGCTTTTGCTTGAAAATTAAACTAGCAGGTGAAACTCCGGTTGTTACATGTATGGAATTTCGATAGTGAAATAAAAATCTATGAATAATAGTTTCTAAACATATTCGCCTGGGTTTCATCTTTGAAAGCTTTATAAATACTATTTTTAAACGTCCGGACCGCATTTTCGACAAATCCATTCGTGGCAGGATGATATGGGGGCGAGGTCAATTGTTTAACCCCATTCAAGCTAAGGTATCTAGAAAATTCATTAGAACAAAAAGGAGAACCGTTATCCGTAACACAAACCTTTGCTAGACCAAAACGAGCAAAACATTCCCTGAATTTTTGAATTGTTGAAATAGCATCAGTGCTTTTCTTTATGAATATCTCTGGCCATTTTGAGAAATGGTCAATAATAATAAGAATCATTTTGCCTCTAATAGGCCCTGCAAAGTCCGCATGTATTCGTTCATAGAAATGGTTGGTTTTTATACCTGTGAAAAGAACTGCTTTGTTTGGTTCTGGTCTTGAGCTCATACACACCCTACAACTGTAAACTATTTTCTCTATATCTTCATCTAGTGACGGCCACCAGAAATGTGCTCTTGCATTAGCCTTCATCTTACTGATACCTTCATGTGTACTATGTAACTCTAGTAATAGTTGATTTCTCAACTTAGTTGGCACTACTACCCTGTAACCCCACATGATTATACCCTCATCTATTGAAAGCTCTTGTTTTCTGACAAAATATGGTTTTAATAACTCATTTGCAGTGTGCTCTGGAAATCCATACCGTACAAAATTAAACACAAATCCTAATAACACATCTCGCCTTGTCTCTGATCTTAATTTAGATGAATCAATAGGTGCAATATTTTCTAAGAAATTTAAATAATCAACATTGTCTGCGATGCTAGTTGTATCTTCAGAATTTAATAAGGGTAACCTACTCAACGCATCTGCTTTAACATTGTCTGCTATATTTGATTGTGTAATCAAACCCTGATAAAAATAGAGACCATCTCTGTAATCTCCCCGCTGCCATCTTGGGCAAACTCTTATGCTCCCCAAACAGAGTCTGTAGTGACTTATGATCCGTTAATATCTCGAATTTTCTACCAGCTAAGTATTCATATAGTTTAGATACAGCCCAGTAAATGCTAAGGGCTTCTTTACATACCATGCTGTAATTAATTTCAGTTTTACTAAGTGTCCTTGAAATAAACACAATTGGTCTTTCAATATTATTTGGCATGACATGTAACAATACTGCCCCCAATCCATATTCACTGCTATCACAGGCCAATCGTATTGGTTTATTCTGGTCAAAATGTACTAAAACTTTTTCTGAAATAATTTCTTTCTTTGCCCACTCATATGCATCATTACATGCAGTTGTTCATTGAAAAAGTGAATTTTTTTTAAAAGATCATACAGAGGTTTCAACTTGACATTTAAATTTGGAATAAATTTAGAGTAATAGTTTATCATTCCAGTGAAAGCTCGAATTTCTGTTTTATTTTTAGGCCTAGGAGTTTTTAAGATAGCTTCCACCTTTTTATCATCTTTTTCTAAGCCACTAGCTGATATTACATGTCCCAAATAAAAAATTTTATTTTGAAAAAAATCGCATTTTTTTTTTATTTAATCTAAACCCTGCATTATTTAATCTTTTCAAAACTTCATACAGGTTTTCCAAGTGTTCATTGTCATCTTTACCTGTAACGACTATATCATCCAGATAATTCACAGTTTCCTTGCACCCTTGAAGTCTTTTCTCAACTATAGCTTGAAAAATGGCACATGCAGGCTATGTCCCATAAGGTAACCTTTTTACCTTATAAATTCCAGATGGAGTGCTCCATGTTAACAATTCAGCAGTCTCATCATCTACCATAAGTTGATTATAAGCATTCAAAAAGTCAAGCTTACTAAAATGTTGTCCACCCTGTAAGGCCACAAAAATTTCTTCAATACGTGGTAAAGGGTGATTAAAATCTCTCAAGTATTTATTGATGGTTACTTTATAGTTTGCACATACTCTTACATCAACCCCATTTGCCTTCAGAACTGGAACCAATGGAGTTCCCCAACTAGCATTTTCCACTTTTTCTATTACTCCTTCACGTTCTAATCTACCTAACTCTTTCAAAACTTTCTCCCTATAGGCAAAGGGTATCGGTGGTGATCTTCTAAAATGTGGAATTGTACCTGGAATAATTTCCAACCTAACCGTTCCACCATTATATCTACCTACCCAATTCATTTTTAAAAAGATCTGGAAAATCATCTAAAACTTCTTGTAACCTACCAGGAGTTGAATCCAATGTGTTATTGACTGAAAAACTTTGAACCTCAATCTCGCTCAACATTTGATTATTCATAGAAATTTTATCTCCATTTAGATTCAGTCCAAATTTCACCCACATATTCCTACCAATCAAAGACTTAGTGGCACCTTCTACCACTAACAGGGTACAAACCTTTGTCACATTCAAAACTTTCAATTTAACCTTCATTTGACCTTTGGGTACAATTACAGGCCCATGATAAACTTTCACTAGAACCCGAGAAGCTTCAAGCTCAATATTTGAGAAATATTGTTCATATAGCTTGAATGGAATACATGACATTTCTGCACCAGTATCAACCTCCGTCTTGATAGGTACTGACTCTATAAGAACATCAACTACTATAGGTGTTACATAATTAAGGTCTTGCACAAGTACTATGATTTCATTGCTGAAAATTTCAATCATTGACTCAGTTTCTGCCTCTAAATAATTATTTTTGTCCATTCTTGCTTTACAAGCCTTCATTATGTGCCCCTTCCTCTGACATTTATTACATTTGAATTTCTTTTATTTACACCTTTTGAAATCATGCTTGGTGCCCCCACAAGCAAAACACAATTCTTCACTAACCTTCTCACTATTCCACTGTGATCGCCCTGCACCTTTCTCCATGTGTGTAATTCTTTCAGTAGTTTTTTGTATTCTATTAATTTTAATACTTCTTGTTTCTTTCAAGGTGGATTCCCTTACCAGAGCTGATTCCAACATCTCATTCAGTCCTTTATTAGTGGATTCCTCACACAGTCTATCTAATATGGGTCCCGGTTTCAATCCAACTACAAATTTGTCCAAAACCCGTGATTCCAATTGAGCCCCAAACTCACAATCTGCAGCTTTCGATATAATGATACTTTAACTGTGAACTGAGCAGACAACATGCCTACTAATATTGCAAATGACTTAGCACTTGGCTTCCCAGGATCACAAATATTCCTTAGTACCTTGTAAACCTCCTCACTAATGAGAGTTAATAAAATTGTTACCTTCCGATCATCCTCAATACGATTTGCCAGCATGTATTGCTCCAATCGTTCACTAAAAATATCCCAGTCATCTCCAAGCTTGAAAATGCTCAAGTTGGCCACATTTCCAGTTAATACATTAACATTTACAGCCTGCGAAGCCAGACCAGGTTCCAGCATTCTTGTTGAGCAAATATCGAGAAACGTGATATAACCTCAATTCCTGTTGGCCACAGATCAGAACTCTTTCTGAAAATTGACCTAAAAATAAATGCTGCCGTAGGTTCCAAAACACAACTCGTCGCCAATTTGTTATAACTTTGGATAAATAAAATAACGATGACTGGATAATTAAAACAATTAGTTTTATTCAATGCTTCAACTGATTTGCATTACGTCTACAAGACATATTCATAATCTACAATGAGCAGTCATAGCGAGTAGACGCGTTGATTGTGAGCTCCGCAAGCGATTGATATTCTTTCGAGTTAAATATTTAAATCTTGCCGAATATTGAAGTGAAGTATACTGTGAATAAAACTGTAAGTACCACGTTTGTGAAATTGGAAACTCAATATGGCCCTAAATCCGAAGGACTTTCAAAAGTTAATTAAAGATACCATGAAGGCGATTATGTCCGATCAAACCTTCATGGAGTCATTAATAAGAAATGTTACTGATCATCTGAATGGCAAACTGGATGAAATAATGTCAAAACAACAACAGAAGATAGAAGAATGTGAAACCAAGATCAAATCACTTCAAAGTGAAAATGAGAATCTACAAACTCAGTTAGACAAACACGATCAGTTCCAGAGACGAAACTGTCTGCGTATATTTGGCATACAAGAAAGTGAGGGTGAGAACACGGAAGATCTTATGCATAATTTAATTAATAAAACCATGAAATTAAAAATAAATGTAGCAGCGAACACCGAATATTGTTACCGAGTTGGTCGTCCAAATATAAAAAGCAGTCAAACACTTATCGGGGAAAGAAACCAAACAAAACCTCGTGCAATACTAATCCGTTTCTCGAACTATAAAGAAAGACAAAAAGTTATGGAGAATGTTCGATTATTGAAAGGCAGTGGCGTAGTGATCAGGGAAGATCTGAACAGAGCACGACTGGAATTGTTGAAAGCAGCAACAAACAAATATTCATATAGAAACGTATGGACAAGGAACGGAGACATCTTTGCGAATGTAGAAGGCAGGAAAAGGAAAATAGAGAAACAGAGCGACTTGAAATAAAACATGAAGAGATAACATGGATGCGGGGGCACGACAACACTGTGCGCGACTTTGATTTGCATTTTTGTAGTTTTATTATTTTCGTTTTTGTATTTACTTTTCATATAAATAGCTGAAATGGAAAATATATCTTGTTATTATCAGAATTTTAGGGGTCTGAGAACTAAATTGAACAAATTCAAACTGAGTACCGAAGGGGAAAATTATGACTTGATAGTAGGAACAGAAACATGGTTGAATGATTCAATATATAGCTCTGAATTGATTAACACCAACAGGTATGAATTAATTAGATGTGACAGAAACCCACATCTAACCAGCAAAGAAAGGGGAGGAGGAGTTATGATAGGGGTAAGCAAAAAATTCAAAATTCTAGACTGGGTAAAGAGAGAGAGTGATTTCGAGGCTCTGTATGTTAAAGTAAAGATTAAAAAAATTGAAATCGCTCTTTTTGCGGTCTATTTCCCTCCGAAATCAACTGTTGAACATTATATTGAATTTGCTAACTTTTACGAGCATCAGGTAGTCGATGATAACCGAAATGTGTACGTCACTGGTGACTTTAATCTACCTAATCTAGCATCCCATTTGATGTCCCGAATAGGCTTGGATGACAGGCACACGACTTTTTTGGACTTTATAGACCTACACGCTTTAGAACAGATAAATGAAGTTCTTAATATTAATAATCGAAAACTGGATTTGGTGTTAACAGCGTCCGAAAACTGCGATGTACTAAAAGTATCTAAATCTGAATTTTCTCTGATAGAAGAGGATGTTAACCATCCTGCATTGATAATTGATATAGAAATAGAAAATAGTAAGGGTTGCGGAGACAAAACCTATTTTGAAACAGAATCTTTTTATAATTTCAAAAGATGCGACTTCTTACAGCTCTCATATAGAATCAGAGATATTGACTGGAATGAAATGTTCGAAATAGAAAATGTCAATGACGCCGTTGATTTTTTTTACAATAAGATATATGAAGTATTCGACGAATTAGTACCTCAATTGAAAAATAAAAAGAGTAAGTTTCCTGTTTGGTTCACTAATGATGTGAAAAAATGTCTAAAAAGAAAAAATGAACTGAGGAAGTTGAAAAATCTATCCAACCATTATATGCAACTGTTCGTTGAGGAGAGACGCAAATTGAAAAAACTAATAGAGAAGTGTCATAAAGAGTACATAATAAACATCGAGAACGCCATTAATACCGATCCAAAATACTTCTGGTCTTTCACAAAAAGTAATAAAAAAACATGTAACTCGTCCCCCACACTCAAGCTACAGGGCACTACCATAAAAAATGACGAGTCTGCACGTTCCTTTGGCAAATATTTTCAGTCAGTCTACAGCAACAAGCAGGCATCTTACAATCCTAACTTGGATAATAATAATATTGAAAGTTATTTATCAATCAGTGAAGTAACTGACAGTAATTACTTTGAAGCCCTGAAAAAACTCAAACCGAAAAAATCTGCAGGAAGTGATAAGATTCCACCATATATTGTAAAAGGATGTGGACTCTGGTTAAAGCAGCCTCTTCTATATATTTATAATTTAGCAATAAAATCGAATACATTCCCAGACTTATGGAAAGAAGCTATAGTAACACCTATCCATAAGTCTGGCAAAGTCTCAGAAATTGAAAACTATAGGCCAATAGCAGTTTTATGTGCTACTGCGAAGCTATTTGAGCAGATTATTTATGCGAAAGTGTGGAGTGGCTTTGGAGGGAATATTTGTGAAGAACAGCACGGATTTGTTCCGAAAAAATCAACCTCTACAAATCTTTTAACATTTTCTCATCATGTCCTCAACCATCTAGATAACAATAAACAGGTCGATGTAATTTATACTGATTTCCAGAAGGCATTCGACAAAGTCAATCACGATGTGATACTGCAAAAGTTCCATAAATATGGCGCTGATCTCCAAGCACTCAAATTGTTGGCCTCTTACTTGAATAACCGATACTTCAGGGTCAAATATGCAGGAAACTGTTCAGAGAAATTTCGCGCTAACTCCGGAGTCCCTCAAGGATCAAACCTTGGCCCGCTACTGTTTCTAATATTCATCAACGACCTTACGCATAATATAAAGTATTCGGAGTGCCTATTATTTGCAGATGATCTGAAATTGTATAGAAAGATCGAAAGCCCGCAAGACTGCGTCAAATTACAGGAAGATATTGATAGGGTCCACCGATGGAGTGTAAAAAACGAACTCCCATTTAATATATCCAAATGTATCGTACTATCTTGTAGCCGAAAATTATCTAAAATATTATACGATTACTCGATGAACGACATGCAGTTATCCAGAGTAGAGACTGTTAAAGATTTGGGTATATATTATAACTCCGCACTCTCGTATAAACCACATTTGAATCATATCGCATCGCAGGCACTACGGACTATGGGCTTTGTAATGAGACAAAGTGCACATTTCAATGACACCAAAGCAATAACTGCACTTTATAATACTCTAGTAAGACCTAAACTTGAATATGGCGCTGCAATCTGGCATCCCTCTCAGCTAATCAACAAAAATATTTTGGAAAAAATTCAAAACAGATTTCTGAGATATCTGTATTATAAAAAATATAAAGTTTACCCGGACTATAATATAGTTAGAACAGTAGCACTTAGAAGTGAATTTGAAATACCCAGTCTAGAAAATAGAAGACAAGCAATTATAGTCACAATGTGTTATAAAATCTACAAAAAATATTATAACTGCCCCTATCTCCGATCAGTATTGAAAAGAAGATCTCCCAATCGATTGACCCGGCTTGTACAATTCTTTGATGTTCCATTTGTATCAACTAATAACTGTTCACCCATTATAACAATGATAAAATTAACAAACAACTTCCTACTATTGTCAGAAGTCAGCTTTGTTCTCCCTCCCTCAAAATTTTATTATGGTTTAAAAACATATTTTTCTAATTTAGAATAAACAGTTTTTATAGTGTGTTCGCGCCATCAGTGATTTGAAATGATCATTCCAATTATTGTAGTTAGTAGAATATTTGCAATGATATACTCCAAGACTGTTATCATATAGATACTGTTGTTATATACATTATGATTCTCATGTAATAAGGTTTTCTACCTGTTTGAGAATAAATAAATAAAATAAATAAATAAATATTCAAATTACAGATGACCAGAGGTTTTCATTGACACTTGACAAAATACATGGAAACATAGAACAATAGAACATTACTTTTGCCATAGCATTTAAAGGTATGTTCACATGATATATCACACAATGGGAAATACAAAGGTTTCTTCAGCAATCAAAAAAACTGATAGGGAATTCATTATCTCAATCATCAATATCAGTAAGTAGATCTAGGACGTCATCAGATGTCGATACATTTTCCCAAAACAGGATTTAACGGACACAGTTTCTTCAAAATGTCTTCACGTTTTCTCCTGGGAATACCCCTGAGAGCGGATCGAACTTCAGGCTTGGTCTTACACTTTAGAAATTTTGCCATCAAGAAATTAACTTCTACGTAAGAAGCATCGAACTCATTTGCATATTGGAGGTGATAGTTTCCTTGTTCAAATTTCACTTTTGCAATTTCACTCAGGTAAGGCCTTGGATTGCATTCCTTAATTTTAGTGAGGGACGAGTAGTCTTTCCAGTCTGCAAAATCGGTAATGCTCATTTCTAACACTTCCGGGGGCTTTTTAGAATGAGATTCTGCTATACAAGATTTGAAATCATCAAAGTCGTAAATCTTACCTTTAGCTTTCATGGCCAGTTCCACTTGGTGATGAAAGCTATCGGCAGACATGAATGTATGTCCTGGCTCAAAATATGCAAGCTCGATCACGTCTGCAGCAATTTCTGTTGAGTTAATGAGATAAATAAACATACAAAACAAACCCCAATTCTTATTCTGTCCTGAGCAATTGTCCAGCCAAATTTTTATATATTAAGCGTATCTGTGAAATACTAAAAATGTGTGGAAAGCACTGGTAATATCCTCTTTTTTACGGCCTGCGATTCCTTCTGCCATATGGCATCGTATTAATATGTGAGTTATCGAATAGTGCATCATTTTCTGAGGTTGATCGAATTTGTGATGCAGTTTCACTCACTCTTCAGATATTAATGGAGTGTAGTTACTAATATAAATAGGTGAGTTATCGAATGTTGCATCATTTTGGGTGTTTTCTGTGGTTGCTAGAGTTTGTACTGCAATTTCACTCACATTTGTAGTAGTGGTTGGTGAATTATCAAATATGATATCGTCCATGGTTAAATTGTCCACAAAACTCATAACGTCCTGCCTCATTGAATTCTTATTGTTATTGCTCTCACTAATTTGGCTTTGGTTCAAATCTCCAACAATTTACAATATTTTTGGGACCTTGTAGTACTGGAACCCGCTCGATTTTTCTTATATTGCGCCAAAGGAAATGAATGTTAATAACGATTGAATATTTCGAAATTTCATAGATTGTTATTAACATTCTTGAACAAATATTGAGTATTTGAGTAACAAGAAATGTTGAATGTCTAAACATTCCGTGTTGAAATTTGCCAAAATTGGTGTTTGTTTTCTCACACATCATGATAACCACTTCCGACTTTTTTGTGCTTGTGCGTTTATTTGAGTCACCAAATAAACAGTCTACAAATGAGACAATGATATTCAAAATGTCATGTAAATAAAACTATTTACGTTTACAACTACATTTCTATATGAAACTATTTACATTCCATTGCCGAAGTAAATTAGTAAATTGATGATATTGTTCATTTTCATGTTACGTTGCTCAGCATGTATGGACCAGCGGCGGGAAAAAGGCATTTATTTCACTCGATTGACGCTAACCTTATCGAAACACCAATGAATAATTGCAAAATAATCAAGAAAAACGTTGAGATAAAACGACAACATTTTTATTGTTCAGTACTTATATTGATATTATCAAACGATAAACTTACCTCTATCATGAAAAAAGTCACTCACT